TTTTTGTTGTGTTTTGGTTTTAAATAATTCTTCTATTTCAGCACCAGTGCAAATATACATTTAAAATTTGTCCATGGGAAGCTTGGTTGTTGGGTCTTCTACATCCCATTCTTTTTAGCCTAAATTAAAAAAAAAAAAAGGGTTTTAAATTAATTTATTAACAAGTGAAACTTAATATGTTCAAAAATGTTAAATTTTTAATGGACTTGAAATAAAAATACATTCAAGGGATATGTCTTTGCTGCTGCAAAGTGCAGTCACAGCACTGCAGAGGCAGAAGTTGCTGATGATGTACCTGGAGCCTGTGGACATGTACAGGGAACCACTGACATCAGGGTCATCATCTGCAGATGCAGGGAGAGACTGAAATTTAAAAAAAAAAAGTTAATTAGTTAATTAGTGTGGATTTTAAAAAATCAGGAGAGTTTTTTCTTATTCCACTGCCTAAAAAAAAAAAAAAAGATGGAAGGCTGAGATCTGCTGCCTGCAAAGTTTTGGAGGGAACAGAAGGCAGAAATAATCAGCTTATTTCACTAGGTACAGATAGGTGTTTGCAGTGTTAAATACATCAGCTTCAAATATAAACCATTCCAATTATCTTACTTTTCTTAATGAATCCAGTGCACTGAAAATTGCGTTGGAGGGAAACATTTTAATTAAATTCCAATTCCCCCATCCATGTATGGCTTTATACCACTCATTTAATAAGTTGGGTGTTTTTTTTGCAAATTGTGAAATATAAAATGTCTGCCATTATTTTCTAAATTAAAAGTAAAAACACTGGTAGAGCTTTTTGTTAAATCCATGCAGATGTAACCTGTGCTCTTGGCTAACAGAAAGTTTTACCAAACTTAGAGGAAAGGTGAAATTTTAAATCACAGATTGATGTTATAGGGATTGCCAACAAATAAGAAGCTAAGAACTGTAATGGCAAAAAAAAAAACAGATTAAAATTATGAATTTCATTTTTACTAAATGTTCCTGCAAACTTTTAATAAAAGCCTGCAGGTAAAATAGTCCTGATTCAGGCCATGTCCAGGTCTGAGATTTTTTGTCACCTCCTTGGGCAGTGTGTGCATTTGAGATCATCACAGTGTCACTCTGTGCTGGAGACATCCAAGAGGCTGCCGAGAGGGCAGAGTTAGTGGTGCATGGAGGTCGAGCAAAGTGAGCTGTATGACCATGTTACCCCATCCTCAAGGCAGGGTTGGTTTAATTTGGCCCCAGCATCATGCTGACAGTTGCATGGGATTCATTTCTACTTGTCCTGCTGGTGCCACTTGGTACTCTGAACTGTTGCATTGGATGGACCTGGTGGACGTGGTATTTTTTTCTGCCATATGATCTTCATCCACCTCTGGAGATATCTGCTCTGGTTGCTTCCACTTTTGAAAGAGTTTTCTTCTAAGTCAGCAGACTCATAAATCCATCCTTTTCTGCTAGTAGAACCTGCAGAAAACCTCTTGGTCTCCAGCTTCCACTTCCCAAAGCTACTGTCTTGATGTTCTTCAGGAATGCAACACATTTCCATGTGTCTTTTTAGCATCCAGTGTTCTTACAGGAGCTTAGTGCTCCATGCATGCAGTGGACTATCACAAAGTGAGCTTAACAGCCTGACTTCCCCATGAGTTTCGTAGGAAACTTGTTCAGCCTGGAGAAGAGAAGGTTCCAGAGAGATCTTAGAGCAGCTTCCAGTACAAGGGGCTCCAGGAGAGCTGGAGAGGGACTTTGGACAAGGGCCTGGAGGGACAGGACAAGGGGAAATGGCTTTAAGCTGGAAAATGGTAGATTTAAGTAGGATATTGGGAAGGAATTCCTGGCTGTGAGGGTGGTGAGGCCCTGGCACAGGTTGCCCAGAGAAACTGTGGCTGCCCCATCCCTGGAAGTGTCCAAGGCCGGGTTGGATGAGGCTTGGAGCAACCTGGGCTAGTGAAAGGTGTCCCTGCCCATGGTGGGGGGGTTGGAACTGGATGATCTTTAAGGTCCCTTCTAACCCAAGCCTTTCTATGATTCTTTCTGTTATTCTATGAGGCAACACCAGCTCTGTTGACAAAGCAGGTCAGTGAACTCTGCCTAGTTTTGGATCCTGACCCTTCAGTGCTCGGTGAGCAGAGGTGTCCTCTGTCCCACATAGCTGGGATTAGTCTTTAAGCTTGGGTTGAGTAGCTTTTGCTTAAGCCTTATTTCATAAAACTCGACTTGCAGGTTTGAGACTTTTTATCAAGAGGATGGGATTTCTTTCATCTCATTCGAACTCTCATGATTTGCTTAAGTATTTTCTGGGAAAGACAAGGAGAATTGGTAAATGGTTGGGACAGTTGCCCAAAATGGTGCTTTTCATCCGAAGATTTTTTGGGAAGGCCGTTTTACCTTTTTTTTTTTTTTTTTTTACCTCATTTCCCTGCAAGAATTTCAAAGGGGTTTGCAAAGTTGTTTCTTTATAACTAAAAGTTTGAATTGTTTCAAAGGTTTAGTCAAAATGTAGGATGTTATATAGTGGGTTTGTTTATTGGGGATCTCTTGGTTTTTAATTACACATGGCCGCTTTCCTGGTATTTTTCTTTAGGAGCAGAAGCCACTCCTGACTCAATTCCTGCAAACTTCATTGTATCATTCCATTTTCTGTTTGGGTGCCACATCTTTCTTGTAACAGGAGAGAGGAGAGCACAAGCAGAGCCCTTGAGGCTGAAAACTGTGCTGGACAGGTTGTGTGTGTCTCACCTCTCCCTTGGAGAAGATGGACTCGGGGCTGCTGGGTTGGTTTGGTAGCAAAACCAAGACAATGGTGTTCATGGCTGTGAATGCCTTTTCTCTTTGCAACTGTGGGATTTTGAAACATTACATTAGTGCAGAGAGGGATGGGTCTTGCCTTGGAAAATTTCGTGCCTAACACCTGGACCTGTGTTGAACCTCGGGGAAGTTTAGACCTCGGAAGAGTCCACCACAGTGATGTGAGTTAGTGAGCACGACAGCAGATACCTGATTTGCTACTGAAGAGGTTCCAAGTCACCTTTCTTCAAAAGTTTAATGTTTAAATCTGTACTTTGCAGACACAGATTTAGAGTCATAGAATCACAGAAGGGTTTGGTTTGGGAGGGACTTTAAAGCCCATCCAGTTCCAAATGCCTGCCATGGGCAGGGACACCTTCCACTAGCTCATGTTCCTCCAAGCCCTGTCCAACCTGGCCTTGAATACTTCCCTTTAGTTTCACCTTTGATCTGAAACAATCCCACTTGCTGTCAGTTGGGAGTTTTCAGGCTGTTTTTTTTCCCACTTTCATTGTTTTTTTGAGACTTCTTCCCACAATCTTGGTGTTGAACTCTCTGTCACCTTTAGCTTATCTTGCTCTGGCCTCGAACGCCTCAGAGCTGCTTTCTTTTTCTCCAGTGTTAACTCCTTGCTTCTCACCCTCCAACTGCCTCCTGCAGCTGCAGATCTTAAAATGCTTTACAAAATATAAATCATTAGTCCTATTTTGCAGATACCTGCAGGTACTTTGTAAAAAGCAGCAGAGTGGCTTGTCCCAGGCTACCCAGGATGTCCAGTGTTGAAGGTAGGAGGAGGAGGACTAGACACCTGGGTTCATGAACCCTGCTTCTAATTTTTAATGGATTAAAAATTCCCGTTCAGACCGTCCTCCTTTGACATCTGCAGAAACAGGTTGTCTGAACTGAGGTCATTTTGGGAAGGTGGCAGGAAAGCATACCCAAGGAGAGTAGCCCTTACTGAGGAGTGCTCTGCCAGCAAGGCACCTCTGCTCACAGGGGCTGTAGGTTTTGTGCCCTCGGTTGCCTTTTGTCTCAGAGTTGTGTCAGGATGAGTCTCATGTGGACATCCACCCTCCCATCATCGGTGGGCAGAACGAGTCACCTGGGAACATTGACTGTGCTAGAGGATATAGACCAAATTACAGAGGTAGCTTGATGAAGAGATTTGATAGCTCTTAATTTTTGGTTTAAACCCGCTGGAAATGTTAGAAATAGGAATTGTGCCTCTCTGGGATGGAACCAGAAAATGCCCAATTTGTGGCAGAGACTGGCTTAGTCTTACAGAGGGATGGTGAATTTCTGGAGAGAAGCTTTGTCCACAGCTCTGTCTGGTTTTGGATAAGGCTTAATTGAGCTGGTTGTGCCCCATGTGGCATCTTTTCAGGGTGACTTCACAAAGGGCAGACCTTCCAAACAGGCAGAGTTGGAGCTGCTCCCAGTGGGATTGGGTGAGGAGAGCCACTATTGCGGAACGAACCTAATAGGTTTGCTGGGCTAAATTCCATCTTGTGGTGCTCCCTGAGTTGCCGGCTGCCTGAGTTGGGCAAGCAGCTCCGTGGGGGACATGTGCCATAATCCCATCTGGGAGTCGCAGAGATGACCGGCTTTTGGGCTCACAGCCATCCCAACTGTGGGGGCTTCCCCAGCTCCCTCACACTTACTGGAGCTGACACTCGTTTTCCACTCTCCTGACCCTGGGTTAGGCACCTCTTCCTGCCGGCACCGCGGGTTCAACGATCCTCACCAACCCCCAAGACACTGAACACCTTCGTCCCTCCCCCACCCCCCAGGAAAGCTCTGCTAATGCTGTCCATCATGAATAACTCTAATCCAGTCTTTATTTAGGGCTGCACCCTTGCTGGCATCTCCTCCGATGGAGAGTATCCCATTAGTGGCGTGACTCCCTGGCTCGCCGGGCCATCGCTCGGCCAAATTCCACCCTGGAAGTTCTCGTGGCTTTTGCAAGAAGCAAGTTCTTTGGTGTTGGGGTGGCTGGCAAGCAGGCTGGCTCTTCCTACCCGCAATCCTTTGGCAGAGAAATTATTAGGAAGATATTAACCATATAATGTTTTGGCAGGGTGCTGGGTGGCAGCCGCCGCCGCTGCTACAGTATGTTTAAAATAAAAACAAAAATTAAAAAAAAAAACACTTAAAAAAAGAGAAGGAGGACAATAAAGTAGGCTTTTTTTTCTTCGTTGGAAAAGAAGATTTCATGTTATCTGTGTTTGCAGGCTTTCTGGCTCATATGCTGGAGGAATCCTTGCTGCGGGGGTGTTTTCATTTTCTCGTCTAACATGGCAGTGGTCCATCACGGCGGAGGTTTTCAGCTTAAACAATCTGTTTGTGGGGCTGCTGATGGCTCTCACTGCTCATTTTGAGGAGGCATCCACTGCAAAAGAGAGATCAAAGGTAAAACATCTCAAGCAAAGTGAATAGTTCTTTATCTTTTGTTAATTAGTTGTCACCTGTCTGTTTAATTTCCTATTAGTTTATTACTGGTTTAGTGTTGTTTAAATAAAAAGGCTAAATTTTGGGACCTGGTTCGTCACCTGTGCTGGGTGATGTCCATTCCTAACCTACCTGGATGTTCAAAAGTGCCAAACATTGAAAAAAACCTGTACACTTTGTTTAAGGATTGAGTTGGGACCTGTTGGATGCATTTGGGGCTGGTTTATTCAATACCCACAGGGTGGAAATACAAAGAGCAAAACCATTTTCATAGCAATGTTTTAGTTCATCCTGCATCGAAGACACAAACTAGGCTGTGGGTGTTCAAGGTTTTGTTTTAAGAACTGCTATTTTCCTTTGGGGTAAATAGATGTATTTTACAGAAAACTTCATCTAGTCAGGAACCCAGGTTTCTACTCAAAAACAGAAGCGACCAAATTTTTGGTCAATTTTTCTTTTGAAATTAAATATGCCCCTAAAATAATGCCATTGTTAAACACAGAGACTTTAAATTTCATGCTTTATTCTCTACTTTATAAACAGACTAGGCAGCCAAATGATATTTTTGCTCAGCAGTCTTGTTCTTTCTACTTTTGTTTGCCTGAACATCTGATCTCTTTTCCTCCAACAGACTTGCCTGCTGTGACTCCTGTAAATTGTGTGAATAAAAGGATTTTTGTCAGGCTAGGCTAGAATTTCAGGAGTCTGCAGTGGTAGTTTACTCAGCTTCGTGAGTTCTCAAATAACATGTTTTGTCAATGGTTACAGAGACCTTGGATTTTTCTGTTTATCTTCTAACGAGCAGTGCCCCGAGATCCCCACAACCTGAACTCCACAGACATGGAGTTGGGCATTTTCCAACCTGCTCCCATGTTTCATGTGCCTGATTTCCAATGGGATTTTCAAATGAGATTTTCAGAAGCAGTTAAGGAGCTTGTTTCAGTGGTATTTTGGGTGTCTGGCATCCCACGCCTCGAAGAAGCCAGGCTGCCATCAGCAAGCTCGTGGTGCTTTTCGTAAATCAGATGGTCCTGCAAACATCTTCAGGGCTGTGCTTGGGGTTCATCAGTGTAAAAAAATCACTGAGGTGGTTCTGAGACCTACCAGGTAGCTTTGAAAAGGTTTTTCTGAAGTTATGTCAGGTGTTTCCATGGCAAGGCAGCATCCAACATGGAATGCTGAGCAGTTAATTAATAATTTCAGGGTGATCCCATCACTACACCAAGGCAAGTGTTTGCATCTCACACACCACCCTCACCAGTGGCTGAAATAAGCAGGGGAGGTTTAAGTTGGATATTGGGAGAAGGTTCTTCATCCAGGGGGTGGTTGGACACTGGAACAGGCTCCCCAGGGAAGTGGTCACAGCACCAAGCCTGTCAGAGTTCAAGAAGTATTTGGACAATGCTCTCAGGCACATGGTGGGATTTTTGGGGATGTCCTGTGCAGGGCCAGGAGTTGGGACTCGATGATCCTGATGGATCCCTTCCAACTCAGAATATTCTGGGGTTCTGTGGAAGTGCTGTCCTCCTTCGGGATGGCTGGGAAGGTGAGGATGGGTTGTCTGCTCCTGTCTGTGGGACTCTGGTGGCTTTTTGCCCGCTGAGGAGCTGCCCTTGGCGTGGCTTCAGGGATGTAACATGGACCAAATGGGCAGTGGAGGAGGAGGCAAATTCAGAGGAGGAGCAGTGATGTAGGTGGCACTGACCCAAGGGTTCTGTATGGAGTTGTTCTTGTTGCCTTCCTCAGTGAATATCAGAAATCCCCTGCACTGTGCTCCGTAGTCTGGATGCATTACCTATTTTAGCATAGAACTCTTTTAAAGATACTTGAAATTGATCTTTTAGATGAATGAGGGATATCAGCCTTAATTCCCTTTGCTTAGGAATTTTGTGTAGCCCCTGACTTTAGCCCTCTATGCCTGAAGAGGAGTTAAAAATCACTCCTGTTATGAAAAATGAGGTCTCTGTAGATACTGGTATTATTTCAGGGGATGACTTCTGAAAAAATTTGCATCATTTGGAGTTAACTGTTCCCTGTGCAGCCTCCCCTGTGCAGCTGGGGTTTGGGAATTGGATTGGGCTCATCATTAGGGTGTGATGATACTACATGGGATCTCTTGTGTGCATGGAGACATAGCAGTTAAACTGGACACTTCTTAAAGAATATTTTCTGTTAATCGAATTAAATCTCTCTATAAATAACCAAAAATAACCTGTGGTCTGTGCTACAACCTACCAGTGCTCGCTGATGCATTTGCCTTTCTCTTCTAAGGGTGCTGTGGGCTGCGCTGAAGCTTTTTTTTGGTCTCTGGGTGTTTTTTGCCAACTGTAAACAGTCATTGTGGATGTTTTTTTTTCTCCCCTCCCAGATCTCTAAGCTTGGTGCCTTTTGCTGTGGGCTCAGTCTGTGCAATCAGCACACCATAGTGCTTTACATCGCTTGTATCGTGCCTTGGGTTCTCGCCCGGCTCTTCAGAAAGACGGTACGTGTTTTGCTGACCCTCTTTTTCTGAGGCAGTGGGTAATTCTTCTGTCCAAGCACTGTTGCCACCTCTGTGTTGATCTGCAAGCAGAGTCAATGGTCTGTCTGAACTTCTTGTTCATAACCCCCTGAAGTTACAGCTCATCTGTCTGACACCAGAGCTGCTGATCTAAAGGGGACCTGGTTCAAAGGGGGCCTCCAAGAAGGCTGGAGAGGGACTTCTGACAAGGGCATGGAGTGACAGGACGAGGGGGAATGGCTTTAAACTGAAGGAAAGCAAGTTTAGATTTAGATATTAGGAAGAAATTGTTGGCTGTGACAGTGGTGGGGCACTGGCACAGGCTGCCCAGAGAAGCTGTGGCTGCCCCATCCCTGGAAGTGTTGCAGGCCAGGCTGGACAGGGCTTGGAGCAACCTGGGATAGTGGAAGGTGCAGGGGGTGGTTGGAACTAGATGATCTTTAATGTCCCTTCCAACCCAAATTATCAATGATTGTGTGATCACAATTTAGGAGCTTTGCTTGTGCCAGCAATCTGTGACCCACTTGTGTCTCCTGGCACAGGAACACTCTGCCCCAGCTGTTTGCAAATACCCTGTAAGCTAAAATAATACTGGGAGCTAAAAACTGCTCAGCCTGTAGGAAATAAGGGCAAGTTCAATGACCTGCCAAACAGGAGAGCAGATAAATACCTGCTGGGGAGAGTCACAGGCACCCCCAGTCTGTGTGTGCTGCTTCTCCTGACTGGTGGCACTGGCTTTCTCAGGCCATGAGCTCACCTGGAGATGAGCTTCTGTATGTTGGCTCCGTGGTGATAGCAAGCAAAAGCCATATCTACTCATGGCAGAGCATCTTCTGACTGCTGTTAATAGTTGAAAGTGCAGCCAGAACAAGCAGCACAGCATGAAGGGCACGGAGGTTTGTCTTCCCTTGGGATGTGCCAGGCTTGATGGCCTCCAGCTCTGATGTATCCAGGACTTTAGGAGTCCTACAAGAGATCAGCTCTCAGGTGAAGACCTGGAGAGGACCAAAGCAAGGCTGACCTTCAGTGCAACAGCAAGCCTCTGATCCCCTCAAATCTATCCCCTTCTCAAGATGTCCCTTCTTTTACGCATCTTTATGAAACTTGATCGTTGTGTAAGAAGGTGAAAACACATTTTTGCATTCCTGGTGTTCGGAGGTGATGTAGATGAGGCTCCTGGGTGCCATTCAGGGACCCTGCCATGCTCCTGTCTGCTGTGGCTGGTTTTCTGAGGGTCAGTGCACCAGGCTGGGTGCAGATGTTTTGCAGGAATTCTACTTTGCCCATGAAACAGCAGCACGACTCAGCCATGCAGGTGCTCTGACCATTTTGGAATTGGCTCTGGGAAACCTCCACTTACTTCCCCCTCTCTCTTTTGTCCCTGTGAGGGTGACAGTTGGGCAGGTGGCTTACCAGGCCAGCCCTGCCTGTATTTTTCCACCCTCAACCAGATAAATCCTGTCTGGTTCTCAGTAATGGCACAGAGTGAAGCATTTTAGCTACAAGAGATGCGATGCAACTCGGAGTAGCTTGATCCAAAATCTGTTCAGCATCTCCAACAAACCTCTTTCTGGCTACATAATTCCCTTAACACGATGAAGACTCACTTCTGCAATATATTTGTGTTCTTTAAACAGAATTTTTAATTTATTATTTTATTATTTTTTTTAACCAGGGAGGTCCAGAGAGGCCTCTGTGATTTCCAGCAAGGACAATGCTGTGCCAATATAATAATCCTGGGAAATGCTTTAGACAGCCCAGTAGTGCCTGCTGCAGAAAACCACTTAATAAGAAGGATAATTGATGGAAAACTGTCTTTTTAAAGTAAAAATGAGCTATCTTTCTTCTGAAGAATCTGGCCACCACCCTTATCAAGCTTCTTTTTCTGCTCCACAGATCATCCCTCTGAATTGGTGCCTCTTCCCTGTAACCCCAGATGCTGAGGAAGTGCTTTGATTGACAGGGCAGTGGCTAACAATAAAGCCAGTGTGCAATATTCTAGGGTGGGATTTTCCAAAGCTCTTAAAGGAGTTAGGCACAGAAGTCCCTTTGAAAGTCTTGTCTTCCTGACCCCTTAGGCAGTCTCGAAAATCCCACCCCAAAAGTTGGCCTATCCAATTTAGCCACTGTAATCACGATGAAGTAAATGGCAAAACTGACTCCTGATGATGGTGGTGGTGATGTGTGTAGTTGTACTGGAGCAGCATTTATGTGGGGTGGTTTTTTTTTTTTTTTTTTGCCAGATGGAATACCAGCCAACTCTTAATCGCTGCAAAGTGGGTTATCTCAGCCTTGCAGTGCTTCAGCCATCTATGCATGTCATGCCATGATTTAAATGTGAAAGATGCAATGAGTGTGATACTCATGAGTCCTAGCTAATATTATTTGCTTCACTTAAATTTCACCCTGCCATGCAAAGGAGATCAGTTTGATGCAGTTTCCTGGTAATCCACAAAATCGTAAGGTTTAACATAGCATTTTGTAGGGACTTACTATAAATTGAGAGATCAGCTCTGTGTAAATATATTTGATGTTGGTTTTTTTTTTTTTTTTCTTTATCTGTTCTTGAAGTTCCAGCGTGATTAAACTAAAATAAACATTGTTATGCAATATGGCATATTTTGGTGCAGGAATTGTCCCCGGGCCATTTGCTGAAGTTGGGTTTATGCTTCTTGGCTGGTTTGCTGCCTTATCTCTATCTGCCGGCTTCGTCCTACCTCAATCGAGCCCGTTGGACATGGGGAGACCAGACGACTCTTCAAGGATTTTTGACCCACTTTCTCAGGGAAGAATATGGGACATTCAATCTGGTAAACAAGGGTCATTTTCTAAAATTACTTTCTTTTGAGTTACGCAACTCTGTGACGATTAAGGGCTTGCGGGGGAAAGAAATTGAAAATGTTTTATTTGTTAAGCGTTTATTTCCGATTTTGACCTTCTGACCAGTCAGGTTTTTCTGGGGAATGGATCAGGTGACCGGGAAAGCAAAAAGATAATTCTGTTTGCCTCCGTTGGGTGAGCCATGTTATTTCCTGGGAGCTGTCTGGTGTCTCATGTATGTAGGAGCCCAAAAAGCAAACTGTGCTAGAGGGAGATGGTGACATCAATTTTGTGGTTTTCTTGTTTTAAGACAAATGTTGTCTTGTTTCTCTATTTTTAACTCAGACGTTCAAAGAGGTCACAAGGAGCTTTCGTTTCAAAATTGTTCCTCTTAACTTACTAATATTGGATTTAAATTAATGATTGTTTGGGGAGGGAGGTGTCAGAAACCTCTGTTTTGAGTTACTGAGGTCTGTGCTCTTGCCAAGGAAGAGAAGCATTACATGGTTGCTTGCCGAGTGTAGGGTTTGCATCTGCCTCCTCCAGCCCTGACTTGGATGTTTGGCTGTGGCCACCCAAGGAAAGCACGTGCCCATCACCCCAGTTTCCGTCCTCCTGCTTCAGAGATTTTGGTGCAGGGGGCTGGGAAATGGCACCACTGGGAAGTAAAAGATAAAAAGGAGTGGTCTACGTGTTGTGTCACTCCTTGAAGCCCCACGTCCTCAGAAGTTAAGCCCCTGCATGTGGCCAACGTGACACAGCGAGCACCGTCCCTGTCCTATTACGGCTGTGTGGCTGTAGGATGTGTGTCAAAAGACGTGATAATTCCTGCTGCTGCCACTAAATCTTTCCAAAACTCCTACAGAGATAAGGTCCACCCTCTGAAGGACTTCTGTGATTTCCCCTGTTGCCCTATTCCCAGCCGTCTCCCGAGGATAAGACTCCATTGGGCAGAGCAATACCAAGGCATGCAAATCCCTTAACTCCTCTCTCCATCAAATATGATGAATTCAAGTTGATGTTCAGGAGGCTTAGGGATGGACTGCGTGTAATCCTACACCACAAATCACATTTGAACTTGTCTGAAGCAGGAGCAATAAATACAGCAAAATCCAAGCGTTTGGTCCCGGTGCCAGCTGGGCTAATTCCAGAGCACTGCCTGGATGGACAGCCAGCCCTTGCATCCCATAGTTCTGTTTTAAGGGAAGACAGGGTCTAAATTCACCTCAGAAAATGTTCAGGAGAGGGTTCCACCTGTAAGCCAGGGATCAGAAATGTCACCTCCTGCGAGGGATGTGTCTGGGACCAGAAGCCATCAGCTGCCGGCAGGGTGGGGCTCCAGGAGCTGTGAGCTGGCTCTCCGTCCTCTGACACTTATTTTTTAATTGAAACCTGAGTGCAGTTAACTATTCCCTTTTTATTGAGATTAAGTATTCCTTCCAGACCTCCTGAATCTATTTACCTTATCTTTCTTCTGGTAGCCACCACTTTTCCAACAAGCAGCTGTGAAGGTAATTCCTCACCTCCACCGAGCACGTCTTCCTTCCCAGACTTGTGCCATGGATTGCAGGTCTCTGCAATAAAAATTCCCTTTATGTCATATAGATCTCATGCAACTCTGTCATGGCAGAGGAGATGGGGGCAAATCTGCTAAGCAAGGAGGAATTGAGGCCCACAGCTTGTCTCGGGTTGTGGGGAGACGTCCCAGAAAATAATTGCACCATGCAGACACAGGACATGGCCTCAAATTGTGCCAGGAGAGGTTTAGATTGGATATTAGGAAAAATTTCTTCACAGAAAGGGTGGTCAGGCATTGGAACAGGATGCCCCAGGTAGTGATAGAATCACCATCCCTAGAGGGATTTAAAAGGTGTGTGGATGTGGCAGTTGGGGGCGTGGGTTAGGGGTGGGCTTGGCAGTGCTGGGTTAATGGTTGATGATCTCAGAGGACTTTTCCAACATGATTGATTCTATGATTCTCTGGTATAGCAGAGATCACGGCTAAGCCACGTGACAGGGTCAAATCACAGGGTAATGTGTTGTCAGCACTTGGAAAAAATGCTTATCCAGGGGGTAAACCCGTCACACAAAACAGGAATGTGGGAGAAAGTCTTGCAATGAAGGTTTGAGTAGAGCTTGCTGCCTTTTTGCAAAGAGAAAATCAAAAGACTTTCCTTGCCCTAGTGAGACTCAGTCAGCATGTAGGATTCTCATGTGGTTCTTTCTTTTTAATACAGGCCAAGTCCGAGACAGGATCCAGTATGAGAGAGATGCTGCTGTGAGTAATATGTTGATCTGCCTTTTAGTGGAGAGAAACCTGTTGGTGCTGCTGCTATTTCGGCCAAAGTGGCTCCTGTCCCTCTATTCCTAGTCTTGGTCCAGAGCTAGGGCTGTGTGTGGCAGAGGGACAACGTGCATGCCTGTCTGTTTTCCCATTGAAATGCTGGATCTCTCTCCCCAGCGATTTTTCCTTCAAAATCCTTCCAGTGTAAACCAGCCACGTTCCCATTTCTGGTAAACTTAAATCACAGAAGAATGGGAATAATATGTTATGTTGTGCTTATTCCCAGTTTCTCCTGACACTTTTAACTGAGTGCAAGGGGTGATTTGGGGGTGGCACATCCATGCACTAATTTCTCCACAGTTTCCAGCTGGCGCAGATGAAGTCAGAGCTCTCCCTTCCCGTCCTTGCCCTGGCACTCGTGGCCTGTGTGAGCACAGCACTGCTGTAAGTAGGAGGAGAATATTTGCTTTGATGTTCACTTTCTCACTGGCTCCATGGGCAGCTTGTTTTACCTTCTCCTTAGCTGGGGCAAAAATTGCAGCAATTGGCTGTGGTCATCTCTTTGTAAGAGCAAAATGTCCCGACACTCCTGGTTAACCCCGTGGCTTTGTAGGTAGCAAGCTTAAACATCCTGAAATCCTCATGGGTTTTGTGCTTTGAAAACAGAAGTTTCATAAATGGCAAAGGTAAAGGAAGGCTCATCAGCTCCTTGTATTAAATGCATTTAGGTGTGCAAAGAGTTAGTGGTTTTTAAGCATATGTAACTTCTGTTTTGTTTTTCATCGTGCCTCAGGAGTGATACATGACTTTTTTTATAGGGCAAGGCAGCAGAAATCACCTGTGATCTGGCTCTTCACCGGAATGCTCTGTCTTTATTCCCTTTTCTTCGCTTGGAGAGCAAACTTGGATGTTACAAAGCCTCTGTTTCTAGGCGTGGTGAGTTGCACTCCAGAAATTGCTCTGGCGTGTTAATTTTTGGCAGAAACATTAAAAACCTTAAAACCACCTAGCCAGGGGACAGATAATTGTCCTGTAGCTGCGTAAGGTGCAAAAATATAGCTAGTAATTCTGGTTTTTTATAGCTGGGGACACAGAAACAGGTTCTGTGAGAAGCTGTGGCTGCTCCATCCCTGGAAGTGTCCAAGGCCAGGTTGGACAGGGCTTGGAGGAACCTGTGGAAAGTGTCTAGTGAAAAGTGTCCCTGCCCGGGGCAGGGGGGTGGAATGAGACGAGCTTTAAGGTGCTTTCCAATCCCAATTCTGGGATTCTGTGGTGTTGTGCCCCAGGTGGAGCGGTTCTGGCTGCAGAGCAGCGCTGTGGTGGCTGTGCTGGCAGGGCTGGGGTTGGCAACCCTCACCTCTCTCGGGAACTCGGTGCTGGAGGGCAGCCGGGTGCTGCCCTGGCTGGAGTGGCTCTCTGCCCTTGCTCTTGTTGCTTCTCAAGTTTGGACAAATTACAGGTAAGAAATCCCCTGGGCACGTGTCTTGGGGCAGCCCCGCAGGGCTGTGGGGTGCTGTGCAGTTGGGGTGCCCCTGTGAACCCCCAACTCCTGCTCCTGGGGTTTCTGTCCGTGTATGGAAATGGGAAAGACACTTCTCACATCCCACCTAAGCTGGCATGGTCACAGCCTGCAGGACTCCCTTGTTTGTTCTCCCTCAGGGTCACCAAGCACCAGCTCCAGGCTGTAAATGTGGGTGTCATGTAGGTTGAAGTAAGAAAACTCTGTAGATACTTAAACTTCTAAAAAATCCCCCTTGTAAATCTGTGCTTTATTTCCTAAGCAGGTTTGCAGAATTCATTTGACCTGAACTTGCCTTGCTTTCCTTCAGGTTTCCTTGTGCCCTGTGCTTTTTTCTGGTTTTTTTTCCCCTCTTTGAAGAGTTAAATCTATAATGTGGGGCTTCCTTATCCCACAAGCACCTGCAGTCACTTGGGCAGGAATCAGTGTCCTAGAAGGGATGCTCAGGTTGAGTCTGACCAACAAAACATACATTTCATCCTCAGGAGTTCTTCCTTTGCACACATCTTTTCCAAAGGCTTGTCCTTAGGTGAGCCAGTCATAGCTCATGTCCTGAGCCAAGTCATGGAGTGTCCTCTTCTTGAGTCCATTGTGTGCACACACAAAAACGTGTAACAAAAAGGATATAATGCCAGGTAATGTAAATCTACTTCTGCCTGATGCTACAAAAACTTGGCTTTTCAATGCTTAATTAAAAACACTGTTAATGCTTAATTAAAACATTAAAGGATGAGTAAGATTTCAGGTACTTTACAGAACAATCATTGTACTGGCACTTCCAGCACCAGCGAGTAAGACTTTAGCTTAGCCCCATAAAAAGAATCAGAATTAAGGTGAAGGCGTGCAATGAGTTCGTATTTTGACTGAACTGTATAGGTTCATGTCTGTGGTGCTGGTTTCTGGGGACTGTGGTCTAAATGTTTCATTTCTGTATCTCAGTTTCTCTTGAAATGGAGATCATTACATTGGAGCTATTAAGTTGTTGATGATGCTCCATCCCTGGAAGTGTTCAAGGCCAGGCTGGGCAGGGCTTGGAGCAACCTGGGATAGTGGAAGGTGTCCCTTCCCATGGCAGAGGTGGTGGAACAAGATGCTCTTTAAGGTCCCTTCCAACCCAAACCATTCTGTGATTCTGTGATGCTTCCAGCAAGATCTGACTGGGGTGGATTTCTGTGGTTGCATAAAATCGTTGTGAAGATATGCAAAGCCGTGCAAATACCTGGTTTTAAGAGACTGGTTTTTGTCTGTTCTCCTAAGTGCTTGTGATCAGAGCAACAACTACGTTGTTGACAAGTTTGCAAGGAATCTGCTGTCCTCTATGCCCGTGGGTGCAGTGATCCTGCTGAGAGGAGACTTACCCGGGAATGCTCTTCGTTACCTTCACTACTGCGAAGGGGTGAGGCCAGATGTCACCTTAGTGGACCAGGAGGTAGGTTCAGAAAGTGCTGGTGATGGAGTCAACAGGCAGATTGAAACACAGGAAGCAAAAGTTCTGTTGTTCCTTCATCTCCCTGAGAGGGTCTCTTTGTTCGAATAAAACTCGCGATGTAGAAATAAATAAAATTGGTGTTTTCTAAAAGGGTTGTGGAGGTAGCCCTGGGAGGGAACATGGTGTTCAAGGCCCGTTCAAGCCCAAAAAGCCAACAGTGAGGCAATAGTAGGTGGAGAAATGGGAAAGCCAAATTCCTTCATCACTGCAGATATCCGAATGTGCCACAGGGCTGTTGTTTACCTTGCCGAGGAAGTTTGTCCCAGCTGTTTTCTGCAATTACCCCAAAATACAGATGTTGGGGCAGATGAAGAAGACTTCTGGGATCAGCCTGGAGGGCAGCAGGGCAGCAGTTGACCCGTGGATGATGCAGCTTTGGGGTTTCTCCCGAGGGCTTTACCATACTGAGGCTCATTCCCTGCATCCCCTCTGTTACCCTGGTGGTTTTACCCACTTCTTTCCCTGTTTTTTTACGATAAGATTGAGGTGCTGCATGTCCCTGGGTGATGTTTTCACTCTTTCATTTTTCACTGAGCAATGGGAAAATAAAATAAACCCCTCTTCCAGAAAGCAACACCTACATTTCTACCACCATGTCATCCTCGCACTTGGCTTTGCAACAGGAGTTTGTGACCTGCTGGCAACCCCCAAACCCAAAACCTCCTGTTTAACCAAACCAAATCCCTCTGTTGTGTCTTTTGCCTCTGATCAGTCAGCACTGGTGACCCAGTGTGGTGGGGTGGTCCCAGCCACTGCTGACAGGGAGGTGACTTCACTGAGCAAACAGTCATCACTCCTTCAAAACCCATTTCTTCCGGATGTAAAATGGATGAAAACTTGGAATTCTTGTTTTAATTACGGTGATATTTTTTTGTGGATAGATGATGACTTACGAATGGTATTTACCCAAGCTGGCAAAGCATTTACCTGGCGTTCATTTTCCTGGGAACCGGTGGAATCCTGTGGAAGGAGTATTACCCGACGGGACGCTCGCCTTTAATCTCCATCGTTTCCTCAAAGTAAATAAACAGTAAGCGTTTCTTTCATATGTAACAGCTTTCCTAAAATCTTCAACCTTTTTTTTTTTTTTATCTTTTTTTCCCCCTACAAATTGTTTATGGAACAGCTTGGTACTGCATCCAAAAGACCAATTTTCTCCACTGACTTCCTCCCTGGTGGCGAGATTATTTTTGCAATTAAAGCAAATATCTGTGCAGGAGTAACTCCATCCGGATATAATGTTGCCTGTTGTTTTGAGGCTGCTTTTGGTTTTTAGGAGGGAAAAATAAGAAGGTGGTGATCACAGTGTTTACTGATCATTTCTTTTGTTGTTGTTGATACAATTCATCACGGAGAAAAAAGGAACGTTCCCGTGCACTCAAAACGACGATGGTTGGAGAGCAAATTACTGCTGCTTCTCCTTTGTGAACGTTGTGGCCAACTGATTAGCATAGAATGAATGTATTCCAGGAATAATCATCATATAAAAATAGCTTAGTAAGAGTGGAGAAAGGATTAGATACTCACATGAATAAGAATAGCATCTGCATTTAGAGTAGCCGGGGTGAGCCTGGTGAGTGTGGGGAGGCAGAAGAGCAGAGCCAGGTGCTGTCAGGAAGAAATGGGCTTCTCCTACGGCTTCTGGCATGTTTGTGAGGTCCAGGAGAGGGGAGAGGATGTGCCACCTGTGCTGGCTGCACAAGATGGGCAATGCCAGATGGGGTATTCGCTTGCAGCAGAAGAGCTGTTTGGCAAACTGACCCAAAACGTGCCCTTTCTGATGTGAGATGGTCTGGACAGGTATCTGTGCCACAGGAAGAGCTGTGCTGCACAGCTTAGATCCACATGTAAAAGCCAACCCTCAGCCTCCAGTATGACCCTGTTTCAGTGGAAAAACACAAAGGAGAATTTGTTTAACAGTGTCCATTCTTCTTCCTATCACACCTCAACCAAAAAGGTAACCTCAAGGTTTAATTTCATGCACAAAATTATATCACTAAGAGAGATCACAGGAAGCAAACTCACCCTGTGACATCTTTCAAAAGCTTGTTTGGTTTCTTGCAAAAGGTTCACCACCACTTCTTGTGACAGGAAAGTTTCCCTGTGTGTGTCAATGCTTGGCCCCAAGGGTAGGTTTGTACGTTGCCTCAATCTCTCTTTGAGGTCTTGAATACTGGAACAGAAACATTCCCAAAGAAGACTTCACTGGATGGAAATTTTGATACTCAAATTCAACAACTATTTAGGATATTTTAGTTGTTAAGAAACTCTCTGTGTGTGGTTTGCTGAGGGACCTGGGGTGACCCGTGGTCTGGCACAGCTTCACAATTGCTCTCTCTTGGTTTTTTTGGCAGTAAGGAGGTGTTTGTCTGCATAGGTCTTCACGAAGGTGACTCGACCTGGAGAAGGAGCCATTCGCTCTGGCCGTGGGGGACGTGTGAGAAGTTGGTTCCTTCTGGTGTTGTGTTTGACCCAGAAGAGTGGATTCGTCTCACCAGGGATCTCTATAACTGGACTGAAGACTATGGCAGGTACGAGGCAGAGGAGACTCTGCTCCTTCCTGCTCATCATTCTTCTGCCAGCAGCACTGTCATGTGCCCTGCAGTGTTGCAGGAATTACCATGAGCCAGGATCATGATGGTTTGTGTTTCGGTAGATATAAGGAAGAAATTCTTCGCTGGGAGGGTGGTGAGGCCCTGGCACAGGTTGCCCAGAGAAGCTGTGGCTGCCCCATCCCTGGACGTGGCCAAGGCCAAGGGCTTGGATGGGGCTTGGAGCAACCTGGGATAGTGGAAGGTGTCCCTGCCCATGGCAGAGGGTTGGAAGTAGATGATCCTTAAGGTCCCTTCCAACCCAAACCATTCTATGATCTCTGATTTTTATTAGTGTGAAAAATAGCGAGGACATTTCTAGTCAACTATCAGCTCCAATTCTGACCTTAGAACTGGAACATGAGCTAAAACCATTGAGGACTTGAGGCATCCAAAGGTTTAAATGTCACAGACTGACCTGCCATGGTAAAAAAACATCTCTCACTTCGAGAACTGGGACGCTGTGAAACACCTGATATGCCAGAGGCTCCTTCTGTGGAGAGAGTGGAATAAAGTTTATGAATGACAAGAGGATCAGCTGAATTCCCTACTGTCAGAGCCATGGGCTTCATGATGGGTTTTCTTCCCCTTGGGAGGCCTGTAGCTGCCTGGGTTAGAAGGGTTGTGGTGGGTGGAGCACAGTGACATGGATCTGATGGCTGATTTTTATTCTCTTTCCCATTTAGTTTCAACCCCACTTCCTGGGAAGCTGTTGCCAACGAGGAGATGTGGCAAGCCAGGTAATTCTCCTTTGCTGCCTTCCAACAGCCAGTGGGCAGTGCCAGCTCACTGGTGTGGAAACACACACCAAAGAGGGCAGCTTGATGGGGCATGGCCTTATTGGATCCACGTGTGTGCCAAGCCTTGGAAGGAAAAGGCTGGCAGGATGAGGTGAAGCGTGCAAGGACTCCAGCAAAGCCTTCAGGAGAGTGCTTGTTTTGTTCACCTAAAGGTTCTGCTCAGAGTATCTCAAAGGAGCAGAAAGTAGTTGGGGCTTAGGGTGAGAAAATGCATCGTGGAGGGAAATTTGTGTCACTGATGACTCAAATGGAGGTGCTAGTTCTGTCCCATACATGGATAGGCATGCTGAAGGTGTGTGATGTGAGCTGGTTGCATTAAGCAGTTGCTCCATGGACGTTTTTCTTGTTTTCCCAGGATGAAAACAGCTTTCTTTATATTTGACCTTGCAGAGAGTGCCAGTGTGAGTGCAGAAATGAAATCACAACTTTACACATTTGCATACAACGTAAGTCATCTGTTTGGGTTAGGAATGCCCCCTGCAGCCTCCATCATTTATTTTTTTCCCTTTTTCTTTTACATTTCTTGACTCCACAGAAACATGTGTCCATACAGGCCCTGTAATCTGCATTCCCCTTGTTTATCCAAACCGGGAGCACAGCCGATTCAAAGAGATTTGCTCGGGGATTTTATCCATTCCTACTTGCCCCCTCGGTCACAGAGGATGCCAAAAGCTAACCAGTCAACACCCTGCTTTTGCTATAATTATGTTGTCTGTGCTGGGCTCCAAACCCATGCCAAGAGATTGCTTGTCCTGAAGTTCCCCCTATGCACTTGTCCCCTCTGTCATTACACAGTCGTGCGTCTGAGCCAGCAAGTGTAAAATCCGACAGTCTTCTCGCTGCAAATTAATTCTGCTGCATTTCACACCAAAGAATAACACCCATAAGCTGGTGTAGGTATCTCTGGAAATACTGGACTGCCTGAGATGCCAACAGATGCACGAAGTGATCAGTGTGTGTCAGCAGAGAGGAGCAGCATTTCACACCCCAGCAGAGAGTCTACAAATATTTTCCTTAATTCTTACCCGTTTTGCTGCGATTTTTTTTTGCTGTTCTGCAAAGTTCTCAGGCACGTGCCTGCTGTTGAGCTTATGAATATTCCCTCTCAAGTCAGCAGACTCCTTAAGTCCTGGGAAAGACGTCCTGATCTCCTGAAATATTGAATAAATGTCTTCCAGGCGCGGCAGTTAAATCTCTTTTTTTTCTTCCCCCAGCTTGGTGTAACACCTCTCTGGGGGAAGCGCATAATGTGCCGTGGGGTTATCACCATCATCTGTAATGTTTCTAAACAAACAGCTGCTGTCGGAAGGGAAACGTTTCAGCCCCCCCTTGGGTTTCTGATTCATGCTGTTGAATGGCAAACACAGAGTGAATTACAGAAATACTCCGACTCTGGACTTGGACAATTCTAAATAGCATCTGTTCCTTCGCGGGCAGTTTTGAAACACTGTTAAGAGCTGTTGGTCCCCTTAGTTCAATTAATTTGCACCCCCCTCCCTCTTCTTCTTTCTTTTTTTTTTTTTTTGTTTTGTTTTGTTCCTGTAACAGTCATACAAAGAAATTGTCAACTCTCATCCCCATCACCCGGTGAACTGGCACAAAAACTACGCCATCGCCTGCGAGAGGATGTTGCGCCTCCGTCGGGGGGACCTGGATCCCGAAACGCTGCTCTCTGAAACTGTGAAACATTTCCTGCTGTACACCCAGAAAGCAGAGGATGATCCCCAGCGCCAGGACATCCTGCAGGCTGTGAAGCACCTGGAAAAGGAGCTGCAGGGGCTGAGGAAAAGGAAAGCAGACCTGAGGCGGGGAGCTGGGTAGCACCCGGTCTTTCAGCTGCCTGCTGAAGGGCTGGAAGTTTGAAGTCAAGGCTTGACATCTGAGTTAGTCCTTGACAATGTGAGAATGGTTTTTAAAAGGTGGCAGAACTGACAGCAGAGAGGAAATCAAGTGTGCAGGAACATGCTGATGTTTGGTCTTCGATTGCTGTTGCCAAATGAACTTTAGGGGTTCAGGGAGGAAACTCATCGCTAAATAAAGTACTGGGTTTCAAAAAGGAAAATTTTCTTCTGAAAGGAACCTGTGATTCTGTTGTACTGTGAACATTTTTTTTTTTTTAGTGAGTGCAGCATCCTTTATAGATGTAAAAATGCATTTAGCATTTCATTGTTTCCTCTGTTATTGAACCAAGAGGTTTTCTACAGCCATTTTTCATTAGCTGTTCTTTGTCTGTGTGGTTTTATGGTCATGGGGCAGCGTGGTTAGGTGGGTTTCCCTCAGGACAAGGATGTGAGATGGTGCCCTCACAGGAACCTGTTTTGAATGTGCTCTGTGCCCTGGCTGTGCCTGTGCCCAGGGGCGCTTCAGAATCATAATCAGAGAATCAGAGAATATTTGGGGTTGGAAGGGAACTTAAATACTATTTTATTTCACCCCCTGCCATGGGCAGGGACACCTTCCACTAGCCCAGGTTGCTCCAAACCCATCCAACCTGGCCTGGGACACTTCCAGAAATGGGGCAGCCACAGCTTCTCTGGGCAACCTGTGCCAGTGGCTCACCACCCTCACAGCCAAGAATTTCTTCCCAATATCCCATCTATCCCTGCCCTCTGTCAGTTTGACGCCAAACCCCTTGTCCTGTCCCTCCATGCCTGTGTAAACAGTCCTTCTCCAGCTCTCTTGGAGCCCCTTTAGGTACTGGTGCCAAACGTTTTTTTCATTACACTGGGATTATTTTTTGGACAGATTTTATTGCTCTAGTTTTCCAACAGTGAGCAAGCAACTTGAGTATTGTCTCTTGCAGAGCACTGGGACTCTGCAGGCAGCAGTTTGGCTCCTCCTGCACTGCCTCCACCTGGGGTGGAGGGTCTGTGATCCTGAGACTCCACAAGGGAACACAAGAGCAGCTCCCATGGGACACTGCCTCTCCCTGTGGTTCATGGCATCTCTCCTGTGGCCTCTATTTCTGTGAGATCCCATAATACTCATCTACTCTGCCACATCCCCACGGGTACTGGGGATTCCAGAACTGCAGTTTGAGAAATATCAGGGGCTTTAACCAAAAGAACAGGTGTGAATCCATCCTGCCTTTCAATCTACCCCAAAAGCCAAGAGACTTGGTTAACAAGAGCTCAGCTACTTGTTTAAAAAAAAAAAAAAAAACACTATATAAAATAGCATGTTTTTCAAAATGTTGCCAGTTAACCCTTCAATCCAATGCTTAAGGCAGACCTGAAGCTCTGGTGTTGTCGCTGAGAGCTGTGTTCATCTAAATTTTCATGCTTTGTTCTGTGGTTCTGTGAGGTCTCAGCCCAGTGTTTCGCAGCAGACAAATTGCTGCCAGGCCAGGTTTCATTTGGACCAGTGAAATTTTCACAGGAGAAAGAAGCAAGTCTGTAAAGTCCATTTTATGAAATGGCACCTCTGGAAGCTTCCCCGAGGCTTGGAGGAGCAGATTGAGGTGTGGGCAGGAGCAAGGGGTGTTACAGGTGGATGCTCTGTTGGTCTGTAGTTTTGAGGTGTGTGTAGGGACACGTGGTCCCATTTCCTTATAGTTCCTTTTAAAAGTGGACTACTTTTTTTCTCCAAGTGCTGATATTCCCAACTTTCATTGGATGCTCCCTGTGTAAAAATCAAGCTGATGTCTAAGAATCTCTTAACTCCAGTTGCACGGTAACATCCTTTATTTTTCACCCTCTCACTCTGATTTATTCTTTGTAATATGACTTTCAGAGCTGTTCCCCCTGTCACTACTGCAAACCATTCCTGTACAAACAGCAGGTGAGAAATGAGCAGTAAAAAGGAGGAGAACCGCAGCTGCTGGGTTGCAAAGCCACAAAGCAGAGGGGTGAGAAGGAAGAGGAGCAGTTCAGGGGTGTCATTTTAACTCTTTGTGTTGTAATTGACTACATTTCAGGTCGGCCGTGCCTCACTTAAATCTCTTCCTCCTCCTCAATCCCTGCAGAAGTGTTTGCACAGAGCAGGGGGAATATCATACATTCCTCTGTGCAGCTTTCTCAGGGCTGGCTTTCTTCTCCCTTCTCCAAACCGGTCCTTCAGCCTGGCAGAAAAGCATTAGGAATCCAATTTTTGAATGCTTTTGTTACCTGCATTATTGCGAATCCATTCAAGCAAATATACTGAGCCGAGGGTTTTCTTTATCTTGATGAGATGCCCCTCCTTGGCCGCATAGTCTTGAAATAATTGGAAGCTTTTGTGGATTCCACTATCTGCTCTGGAGAAAAGAAGGGGCTGTATCCCAGCCTGCAGCCTGCACCGACTGATGTGTCATCTTGCATTGCAACAAACAGGGATGGAAACTACAGGAAGAACTTTCCCGGTGGCAAAAGCCTTCCCAGGTGTGAAGAGCAGTGGAAAGGGGATGCTTTTCAGAGAGGAAGGCACAGCCGTGGTGTTGACCTGTACTGCGTCCACATGAATCCTGTGCACACGTGATGGAGGTGTCTGTGCTGGGTGATCAGCTCAGAGGTACCCCACAAAGGGGAAAAAGTTTAACAGTGATGGAACTTCCGAAATTCCTCCCCCTGAACCTGTTTAAATGAGATTTGCTGGTGCTTGCAGACGAAGCCGTTGCGTGGATGTTGCTGAGCCTGTTGGCTAAAAGGCAGAGGGATGCTGGCAGAGTTTAATTTTTATCAGCTCCTCTTAGGTGGCACCCTGAAGTTTATCAAACAAGCAAAGCTGATTTGCTCTTCATTAGTCTCAGTTGCATGAATCAGTTGCCAAGTAAACAGGATTTTGCATTTTCCTAATTACTTTCATATTTGTGTTTTACCTCTATTTGTTCTCTTGCAAAACTGGTCCTAATAATTAGTCAGTCTCCTGCTGCCTAGACCTTAAAAAAAAAAAGAAAAAAAAAAAAAAAAGGGGTGGGGGGAGAGGGGAAAAAAAGGCTTCTGAAGGTTTTTTTTTCTCCCTTATAAATTCATTTTTGTTACAAGCATCTTTTATACATATTACTAAAGGGAGCGCACTAAGAAATGCAAATAATAGTTCTTTATTTTATTATGACAGTTAATTAATAGCAACCTGTTTTAATGAATAAAGTCACTCAGAGTCCTTCAGCACTTCCTAAGTAGAGGCCAGAATCTGTAGGGATTCTTTTTTCCCCCCCATTGTATAGCTCCAAGACTCCGAACACTATATAGGGCCTGTATAGAAATGCTCGCTAATGAAGAGGGAGGGCGAGGAACTTGTCTGCATTCAAAGATCACTGGTGAGTCATTCAGCGAGAAAAGGCCCCTTGCTAGGAATAGTCACAGTTCCGCGGCATTGTGCTGGCAAAAGGGTTTGATCAAAGGTCTCCTGCCGAGCTTGCATGGTTTCCTTTCATACGACGACCATAATTAAAACCACTAATTCTCTTTTAAAATGCTGCAGGATGCCATGTAGGCATCTGTCTGGAGTGTCCTTTGTGCTGTCGGGAGCTGTTAAGGACCAGCGCCGAGGGCTTTTCAGCGACATGCCAGTCAGGAAGGTGATTCGACATAAGGGTGCCTCTGAAGGCTTGACAGGGCCTTGACTACACAATTCCAGCTGAATTTGCCCCTTGTCAGCTGCCAGTAAATAAATCTCAAAGAAGAAGGTGGTGGTGGTGGGGGTGTTGGGGCGGCCGGGAGGGGAGGGGTGGGGGTGAAGCTGAAGTTTCATTACCTGATCCCCGGGGCTTTGTTGGTTTTGGCATCGCCCAGGGGGAAGCCCTCGCCCCTCGGGGCCGGGGGGAGCTGGGGATGGCCATTGGAGACCCCGGCGCCCGGGCCCGTTTGAAGACCGTCAATACTTGTAACAGTTCAGCTGTTAGGAAGACAAATAAATGGAAGAGCCCATTAATCCCCTTTGGGTACTCGGTGCCTTTTGCCCTTTTATCGCAGCCTTATTAGGTTCCTACTCATCTTGAACCAGGAGGGATGAATTGAAGTTGTTGAGCGCTAATTGGCAAAGACTTTTCATCGCGGGCCAAGAACTTTCACTGACTTGAAAGTAACTTCGCCACGGGGAGGATCAGCAAATTTTTGCCTCGCCGTTTAAAACAAAACCCCGAAATCCCGTTGGGTATAAAAAAAAATCAGTAAAAAAAAAAAAGGAGAGTGAACGGCTAAATTATTGGGCTTGTCCTTCATGAGGGTGTTGGCAACCTGTATTTGCTCTTTAAAAGAGAGTCACAGAGCCAAACGTGTCACAGGATGATCCACCCCCAGATGCAGTTGAAATCCACATGCCTTATTGTGTGTGTTACTGAGACCTGCTCATGGAACAGGCTTCCCAAAAGGAGTCTGGGAGATGGTCTGTGAGGGGGCACCATCGTTCTTGACTGTTTGCGACCGCTCAAGGGTCAAGCAGAGCAGTGCTGAGGTTTCCATATGCCAAGGGACTGAAACAAAGTTCAGGACAATTTTGGCTGCCATAGAGTCCTCTCTGGCTTCGGTGATAGGATTTATGGCTGAGAAGTATTTCAGTGTGGAGGCACTTGGATGTTCTCATGTGAATTGCCTTTTAATGTTGATTTTGGGAAATGCTGCATTAATGTGAAGGTCCTTGTTGCCCTCTCTCCCCATGTCCCCCGTTGTGTATTTCAAATCCAGAATAAAACTTTTACTGGGTCGTGAAAGCATCTTATACATGGTAAGTGACAATGCCATGGGCCACCTCTGCCTGGAAGACATCGAGTTGGGGATTTTAGAGCACAAAATCCTATGGGTGTCCTCCCCAACCTCAGCATTCAGGGGGCTCATGAAATGAGGTACCCACTTTAAGGATGGCATCTCCCACCGGGATCCCAATCTACGTACCCTGGCAAAGCCCACCCATTCCAGAGCCCTCACCATCTTTCCAGGTGTCTCCAGGCCTGGGATGCTTGACGTGAGCAAACAGGCAGCTAAAGCTCCTGCTTGGTGCAGGAGGGAATGGAGACATCATTGTCATTACCCTTGGATGGGCTGTTTGGTTTGGATCTCCCCGATGAAGCTGGAGCGAGCAGTTGTGGTGTTGCCTCTGCCAGGTGTCTGTGACACCCTGCCCGGCCACACAGTGAGCATGGAGGGTGCTGGTGGCACCATGTTGTGCCTTCTGTGGGAGTATTTAAGTGCTCTTGGACATTCTGGAGTTGTAACATGTCATTGCTCGTCAGACACAGCAGCAGCTTGATGAACAACGGGGAAAAACATGTGAGAGGAGAATGGGTTTGGATGAGTTTGGGAGTCTTTGTCATGTCCTTTGATTTAGCAGTACAGCCACTTAAAAAAATGGCATCTGAAGAACTCTGCTGCTCATGAAGCCTCCCCAGGGAGGATCTGCTGCCTGTTTCAGGCCAGAAGGACTTGTGGGCCCAAATTGCTGCCAATTTTTTTTCCTAAAATTTATTATTTCTCCCTTGCTGCCTCTTGACACTTCCTGTTATATTCAAAGCTGACATTTCAATAAAAGCTTTTTCGAAACAGACTGAAAACAAGGAATGAGTGTAAATTGGAATAACTTTATTCAGATGAGTGGAGCTGGGGGAATTTGTGCCAGCAGAGAGTTAGTTGGAGGTGGTGCTGTGACTGACAGCCTCCATCCCTCTATCCCTCCATCCATCCATCCATCCATCCGTCCACCCATCTATCCAGCCACCCTTCACAACCTACTTTAAACAAACTGGGGATTTGAGCAAACCCAAGACAAACATACTCGTTATCAGTGAATTTTATCAGTAAATCCTTGATGGTCAAACCACAGCAAATCTTGGTGAGTGAGGAATAGACACAATGGCCTTGAGGAAGATGAAGGTCAGCCTGGATACTTGGTTGTCGTTGTTGGAGGAAGAGAAGTTCTCCTTATGCAATTATTTCCTGCCAGTATTTGGGAAAGAAAAAGTAAGAATTCACCACTCGATTACAAGCTGTGCTTTGGCATCGAGAAAATGGGATTTTTTTTTTTTTTTTTTAAGAAATACACAATCATAATTTTGATCTTTAAACTTAATTGAACTAATTCAATTAGACCATGCCAGTCTTGCATTTGATTGAAGACTGCAGTTTGGTTTTGCTGGAAGGGAAGAGGGAACCATGAATAATTCTGACTAGATACGAAAGAGGATTTTTCTCTCTCGTGGGGGCCCAGGAGGGAGGTCGGAGCCTCCTTTGGCACGTTGTATCCCG